CATTTAATTTGATGAGATAAATAATTTGAATATTATAGGTAAGTTAATACCAGTTATGTTATATAGAGCGGCAGAGCGCCATAACGCGGGCGATGCTTTGCATATGAAACGAAATAGCACTATCGAATGATGACAGAACTATAGATTTCGAAGTTGTTTTGCTGTCGATCGTCAATTCATGCATATCCAGGATATGTATATAATATATATAGCTATATATACTTTGATATAGAAATTGGACCTTTCCAGCACAAAAATGATAGACATTTTATAGAACAAGGGAGTTCTGTATATCACAAACTGACGAACTTTATGATCGGCTACAGCTACAGGAACAGCAACCTGGGACTGGAACTGGAACCGCACATCGTTTATGCAAATTATCACACGATCGCCGTACTGGCGTAGAAGACATTTTAAAGCGGATAATATTTTTCAGGGAGGCGGATGTTTTCGGAGGAGTATATACCTTAAAAACGCAAAAACGAAAAGCCGGGATTTGACCATATGATACGACAGTGTACATGAAGTTACGACTATCAATACGAAGTTAAACATTTCTTTGGATACCGATATATTGACCTGCACCTGTAATAAAATTTTATTACTATATACCTACTGACATAATCTATTAGTAATTTAATTTAAATTAAACATTAATGCGCCATTTACTCAACCTCTGTCGGCTCTGTGTACTTCCTCAATGAATACGTGATCATAAACAATAGAATTTTACTACGGCTGTAGTTGTTCAAACAGCGCGTGCACGGTTCCAGTTCCAAGTATCGCTGCATCGCTTTTTAATAATAGTAGTTTTGGCATGTATCAAACATGATATTAAATTACAACTTGAAAATGATTTAGTCCAGACTAAACGAGATGAGAGTGCATGAAAATTGGCAGTCAGGCAAGCTTGGTTGGCTGTTCTAAGTGTTCTTAATGCTTTCCTAACACTATCATGTAGTCCATTTAAGTTAAAACATAAATGCAACACTCGTCACGCCTTTGTTGATCTAAAGCTTGAAATGTCCCCTGTTCGGATGCGTGACTGCCAGCTTTCATCAACACTTATCCTCGTTTGTTTAATTAAAAATATGTAGCTTATTAGGTTTCACAGATTTTGTCACCTACATGACGCCGTTTTCCCAAAAATTTTGAATTCTATAACGATTAATTCCTCTTGAAAAGACCAAAATTGTTGACATCAGCATTATTTTGGAGCGATCTCAAAAATGTGTTATAGACAAAATTCAGGTAAAACTGCTTCGTAAAAATCAAAACGGGACTACTTACAGTACTGCCTAGAAATAAGTTAACACTGCGGTTCGTTCGCGGTTCATGCGGTCGCGGTTCGTGCAATTCACGGGAGTTTGAGTTTTGGTCGTGTGTCGTGCGTCGTGGGTAAAAAGTCGGGCGTCGTGGGTAAAAAGTCGTGTGTCGTGCGTAAAAGTCGTGGGTCGAAAAATGCTCTAAATTTCCGTTTTTCGCTCAGACACTGCTTTTGCTAAAATACTTTCTGTTTTAGCAAAACGCGTGTAAGCGACCAAATGCCCAACTGAATATTTAACCAAAATTCTTAATGCGTTCGAACTAAAGTCAAGAACGCAGCAGGATATGGCCAGGCGGCAAGTAACTGAAGGAATGTTGAGACGCAATTAAAGGAAACCTTAATTACAATGTGTAGAACACCTAGTATTACCAGGTGTTCTGCGCATTGTAATTAAGGTTTCCTTTAATTAATCCGACAAAAAACATGCATAAAACACCTAGTATAAATCACAGTTAACTGTGTATAAATCTATAGCACGTTTTCACTGTCAAAATTCAATAGTTATAAGTTGAACACTATGGCGTCAGATTCCCGCCAATATTCATGTTGAGGTGAATTCCACAGGTTTCCGTATTGAAGTGAATTTCGACATTGAATATATCAAATTCAGCATGTCACTTTAAGAGGGTCTTAATGGGGGTCTTTGGGTGTCAGTTGTCAGCAAAAATTTAAGCCAATTGTCAGTTGTCAGTGCGATATATTGCAAGCTGTCAGTAGTCAGTTACTGCAAAATGCTGACTTATAATTTTTTTCATCATTTCTCAGTAGTCATATTTTGTCAGTTGTCAGTCAAAAATTCAGGCAAATGTCAGTAGTCAGTTAACCCCATTCAGACCCTTCTTTAATTCAACATTGCTTCAATTTCAACATGTTTCCCTCATTGATGTTAATTTGAATATTGAACATGTCAAATTTAAGTGAAATACAACAGTGAAGTATAGATATTGAAGTAATTTTCAATGTTGAAGTTTCAAAACAGATTGAAAACGCATCACTACATGAATTTGAGAAGTGAATATTGGTGGTTATATAGCACCGCGTCAAATATCCGCCAATATTAATTAACACTTCGTTAACCCCTGGCATCAATTCCTATATGGCGGCTACGAACGAGCGGAATCAGTGATGAAAATCATGAAATAGTTGGTGCACTGAACATTATTGAGGATATAATATCGCGATTAGACAGCTAGCCTTGGTGACCCAGATTGTGTAGAGGGAATGGCAATACGATTTGACGTTTTAAAGAGATATCTTGTAAATATTAGAATCGACGACATCATGCACTTTGGAATTGCTGGATAGGTTTGCAAAAATTTAAACCAATTTGAGCAGCGGCAGCGCTATTCCTGCATGAATAACTCCAGCACAATTTTATGCCGTGGAAAACCTTCCATTTTCAAACCTTCCTAAATTTCCAGCACAAGTTAGTATGCCGTGGAAAACCTTCGTAGGTCCTTCGTATGATATACACGAGGGGCAATTGAATTTTTTATAGCGAAGTAAGCAGTATGATGGATGTACGCAAAATAACTTTGGCGCGGCGACTGATGAGGTCATTTAGCACGAGTGTGTCAGGTAAGAAAGTTATGAACATACTGCTTACTTCGCTATAAAAAATTCAATTGCCCCTCGTGTATATCATACGAAGGACCTACGAAGGTTTTCCACGGCATAAACTTGTGCTGGAAATGCAGAGTTATTCATGGCGGAATAGCGCTGCCGCTGCTCAAATTGGTTTAAATTTTTGCAAACCTATCCAGCAATTCCAAAGTGCATGCATGATGTTGTCGATTCTAATTAATATTTACAAGACATCTCTTTAAAACGTCAAATCGTATTGCCATTCCCTCTACACAATCTGGGTCACCAAGACTAGCTGTCTAATTGCGATATTATATCCTCAATAATGTTCAGTGCACCAACTATTTCATGATTTTCATCACTGATTCCGCTCGCTCGTAGCCGCCATATAGGAATATGCCAGGGGGCAGGGGGGGAAGTTTAACGAAAAATGACGTCAAAGAGTCGACTATGAAAAAAATTTGGATACGTTTGCGCCATATTACTATGACGACGAGAATCATATTGACTCGCTGACGTCATTGATAGAGAGTTTGGGAACGCGACGGGAAGTGGCGACGGCGACGGCGACGTCTGTGACCGAGCAGGGGCCTGGAAACGAATACGTTGCAGAAACGTCGCCGTTGCCCCCAGAATTCTGTTTGGCTACTGTTCGGCGGTAAAATTTAAAACTTTTGTAAATTCAAAATGGATGAAATTTTTGACACTCTCCTTTTATCGTACGATGATGGTTTAATATCAGACGAGGAGCTTTTACTTCTCCAAGATTACTTATGTATATCGCCAAATAGGCACTCAAATTTCCCTTATCGGGATTATAATCCATTTGACTGGGAAAACCTTGACGAACTTACTTGCAAAGTTGAGTTTCGGTTTGACAAACAAGACATTCCAAGGTTGCAAGAAGCGCTTCAATTTCCAGAAATGATTTCCATCCCACATGCTACAGACTGTCCTGGATTGGAAGCTTTGTGCATATTGCTCAAAAGATTTGCTTACCCAGTGCGATACTGTGATATGGTTCCCATGTTTGGCCGATCAGTGCCTGAACTATGCAAGATTACTCAATATGCAATCAATCATATTTACAACAACCATGGTTTCAGATTACAAAGCTGGAATCAACCATTTCTATCTCCAGAGAATCTGGAATCCTATGCAAATGCAATTCATGTCAAAGGTTCCCCTCTTCTAACATGCTTTGGTTTCATCGATGGCACAGTTCGGCCAATTTGTAGACCCAGTGTTAATCAAAGAATTGTTTACAATGGTCATAAGCGGCTACATGCCATCAAATTTCAGAGTATATGTATTCCGAATGGTCTGATAGCAAACCTGTCTGGACCATGGGGTGAGTTAGCACTTTTTTGACATTTATATTGCCAATAATCAGTACAATGATGTGTTCTGTTATAAATTGTTAATATATAAATTTTGAACAAAGTCATTCAATTCAATCATTTAGTTATATATTTTGTTTTGCTTTGCTTTAGAGGGAAGAATGCATGATGCACGTATACTTGGAGAGTCAGGCTTGATGCAAGACCTCAGGCAGCATGCATTTGCACCAGACGGCACCCCATTATGTCTATATGGTGACCCAGCCTACCCATTGAGGGTCCACCTCCAGCAACCATTCCGAAATAATGCCGCATTAACAGAAGATATGAGGCAATATAACAAGGCAATGAGCAGTGTACGAGTCAGTGTGGAATGGTTATTTGGAGAAATAACCAAGTATTTTAAGTTTGTAGATTTTAAGCAACAACTTAAAATACGGTTAAGTCCCATTGGAAAAATTTACATTGTATCTGCCATATTGCAAAATAGTTTAGCTTGCTTGTATGGTAACATTGTATCAGAATATTTTGAAATCAACCCACCAACACTAGAAAACTACTTCTGGAGAGCTGATGCATAGTGTCCACATGTAATTAATGATAATACTCTATGAAACATAGTATATTGCAAGACAACAGTATAGTAACATTGCATTTGCGTGAAAGATATAATTATTGTTTATAAATTGGATCCATACAACCAGAATCAAAAGTAATTCAAAATTAAATTTTCTGAACCAATAACTTTTATTTTCAATTTACATATACAACTATAAAAATATTAATATAATAAAGTATAGCATGCAACTTGTCCTGTAAAATATCCAAACAAAATTCAAAGGCCAGAAGTAGCCTGTCCGTATTCAATAAACATGAAGAATGGTCAAACACATAAAGGAATGTACTTACAGTTCTTGTACAGTTAACGATTTTTTGCAAATTCAAGCAAAGTGTTCAACAAGTTTTGATTTTGTTGAGTTTGTGCTTCAAGCTCCTTGCTCCTTATTGCTAGCTCTTGCTTTCGAACTTCCAGTTCTTTAGTTTTATGTTCAAGCTCTTTATTTCTATACTCAATATCCTGATTCGCTTTATCTCTTAGAAATTCTACAATAGCTGTTTTCTTGGCTCTGAACGAATCGTTTCCTGATGCTTTTCTTTTTGCTGTTTCTCGAGCAGTTTCAAGTGCGACCAGTCTGACATCTTCTGCTTGACTTCTGTCCTCATCTTTAGCAGTTTTTTCCTTTTCTCGGTCCTCTTCTTGACTCTCAAAAAGAGCAACAGCTTCCTCAATGGCGTCTTCAAGCTCACTTGGCTCATCGGTGCCAATGCCGGAAGCATTAATTTCCTCTCTCTCCTTCTTTTTGTATTTTTTTGCTAACAAGTTATAGCGATCGCGTACAGCCCTGATGTCCTTCAAGTTGAAGACTATATCTGCTCTTGAATTTAAATTGTCGACGATTCTTTCCCAAACTAGTCCTATTCGCCTCGAACCTTTAGGATTATCAAAAGGACGTTCTGTTAAAATTTCTTTAATCAACTCGAGGTCATGTTGATCAGTCCACTTCATCGCTTTGATCATGACTTGAGATTTACTGCTAAACAACATAAAACTTGAGTTAAATTACCGAAAGTTGGTTAAACAGAATATCGTTTACGTAAAAAAGCTTACCTTTGCTTGTTCGTTTCGGCCATCATGCAGAAAAAGGCACAAAAACCAGACGTTGTCAGCACAACGCCAAATCACTCAAACTGGCGTTGTCGGGAGAACGCCAACGTCCAGACAACGTATATTCGTGACTTAATTATGATAATTATGTAAAATTATGCAAGTCCCAGGTCGCCGTCGCCACTTCCCGTCGCGTTCCCAAACTCTCTAATTGGTATGACGCGACGACGGCTGCCGAAGGACTAAGGAATTGTTTTTTTCTTAATACAAATAAAATACAAATGTTTGTTTTGAATTTTTTAAATAAATAATAAAACAATTATTGAATTCGGTTTTCGCACAATATGAAGAATTATCAAGCCCTCAGTTTGCCGTTATCAACCTCAGCCTTCGGCTTCGGTTGATAACGGCCGAACTTCGGGCTTGATAATTCTTCATATCGTCAACCTCATTCAATAATTGTTAATTGGCGGATATCAACGCGGTGCCTAATTACCGCCAATATTCACTTCTCAAGTTCATGTAGTGATGCGTTTTCAACCTTTTTGAAACTTCAACATTGAAAATTACTTCAATATCTATACTTCAATGTTGTTGAATTAAAGTGAATACGCCGCTGCCGTGAACCAGCAGTATCTCAGTGGAAGTATGCATGAAAACGAGGCTAAAGGGTCCAAAAACACAAAACATGACCCTATAGCCTCGTCTCGATGTTAATTAAAATAGTGCAGATACCGCTGGTCCGTAGCATAGACGTATTCAATTACGATAACAGCTATTACACTGTTTTTAACAAGGGAATTTCGATATGGAATGGATATTTCCCCTTATAACTAAAATTTCGATCTGGACAAAAATTTCATCACAGTTTGAAAGAGCATCACAAAATTAGTAATATTCCAAAGTATTGTTGCAATATCTTGTAAAATGCGGATAATATAGCTTTGCGAAATTTGCCGTTTTTCAGTTAATTTGTATTACAAACGGGAAATTGACATCCGATTCGGGTGTTGGGGCTGCAATTTCCCGTTTGTAATGCAAAATGACTGAAAATTGCAAACTTCTCAAGGCTCTATTTTTCTATATTAGAAGATGTTAGCGTGAATCTTTCAGGCAGTTTTTAAAAGAATAAATTGATTGCGCTAGCTTCGCATCAGAAGGAAGACTATTCCACAATTTAGCTCCGCTATACTTAAAGCTTTTTTTTAGAAATTCTCGTTTTGGCTTAGCAGGGGTAAGGTCAGTATAAGTATTGCGAAGATTATAACTGGTTTGAACAAGGTCCCTTCTCGTTAGAGCATCCTTCAAGTTCGGCCCAGCGCAATCATTCAGGACTTTATACATTAATGTGGATTTAGTTGTACGTTGTCTTATCTCTAAATTTTCCCAAACAAGGGATCGAAGAACATCAGCAGACCTTATTTCATAGCTGGCGCCGGTTATAATTCTCGCTGCACGGTTTTGGAACTTTTGAAGCTTATCTTTCAGCTGTTGGTTACAGACGTCCCATAATGGACTACAATAATCAAAATACGGTTCTATCAAAGCTCTGTAAATGGTATGCAGAGTATTTATAGGAACATATGGCTTAATTCATTGCATTGCTCCTATGCCGGCCCCAACTTTCTTACAAATCATTTCAACATGCTCATGCCAATTAAGGTTTTCATCAAGTTTAACCCCAAGGCATGTGTATGAATGAGCAAGAGTTATGAATTGGTTATTCATCATTACTGGAATATCATAAGTCATAGTATCAGTATTATACTTTGAACCGATATACATTAATTTGGTCTTAGTTGGGTGGTGTTGCAGTTTATTTCGAGCAAGCCACTCACCGACTTTTTTCAGGTCATTATTTAGATTTTCAGTAAGTTCCTCAATAGTTTTGGCAGAAGTAGAAATTTGAGTATCATCAGCGTATAGGTGTGGCGAAGTTTTTTCGAGGCATTTGTGTAAATCATTAATATATAATAAAAACAGCAAGGGACCAAAAATTGATCCCTGCGGAACTCCGCACACAATCGTTTTAGGTGATGACATTGCACCGTTGACAATGCATGCTTGCTCTCTATTAGTTAGATAGGACTTAAACCAATCCAGTTCCACAATTATTATTCCAAATTAATCATTCATCTTTTGCAATAAGATTGTATGATCAATAGAATCAAAAGCTTTTCTAATATCAAGGAAAACAACACCACTCAACTGACCATTATCCATGTTCTCATAAAGTGTGTCACACATTTGAATGAGTGTTGTTAAAGTTTAATGCTTAGGCCGAAAGCCAGATTGATGTTTAGATAGCAGCGAATTATCATTCAAAAACTTATAAATCTGGTTGAAAACCGATCTCTCTAGTATTTTACTGACAATAGGCAATATAGATATCGGTCGGTAATTTTCACATCTTTGTCTATCATCAGATTTAAAAATTGGCATTACCCACGCCTTTTTCCATTCATCAACATAATATTATATCCCAGTTTTGATTGAAAGATTATAAATCCATGTTAATGAAGGACCAATAACTTCCGCGGACAATTTAAGAGCTATAGCAGGGATGTTATCAATACCGGTAGACTTTGAAATTTTAAGATTACGTAATTGACAAATAATATCATCCATACTAATTTCAGAAAACTTAAAATTTATATTAGAGTAATAGTTAGAGTGGTAATTTTCATCATCTGAAAAGTTCGTACATGGAGAATCGTTCTCAATTTCATTAGCCAAATTTACCCCGATGTTAACAAAGAAGTCATTAAACGCCTCAGCTTTCAAAGTATCATCTGAAATCACAACATCATCACATTTAAGTTGAGAGATATTATTTGATTTTTTGTTTTTACCTAAGAGAATATTAATTAACTTCCAACTATGTTTCATATCTTTCGATTGTGCGCAGTTCTCAAATTTGTTACGGAAAAATGCTGTTTTAGCTTT